TTTCTAAGCAGAGGAATATTTTAGACCAATTAATTCTGATCGAAGGTTAACATAAGCGGCCAGAACCATCTTTTGTTGCAACTATCTTTTTTTAAAATTTTGTAATGTAATTGCAGATGATATTAGTTAATACAACATTCTTCAGAATCAGCGATTACTGTATAACATAGGTTCCCCCCCCGGGGGAATACCGCCCGCCAGTGGGTGCTTGAGCTGTCCATTGGGGGCGTAGTGGTTCTCAAATGGAGGGCACTAAGGCAGGCAAAAGGAGCGGCTGTGGCGTACCTATCCTTTTAGGGAATTAATGCAATAAAAAACTTCGAAAATATCTACTGTTTTCATGAATAAATATTATATCTAGCTATTTAAAAATGTTATCTTATTGTTATCGCGTAAATAAGCATTAACAAATTTTACTTAGCATTAGGTATGCGTACACCTAATCAGGTTTAGCATTGTCAGTAATAGATCTTTAAATTGGTAAATAGAAAATTGGTAAGCAAAGACGCGATTTACGCAATGAAGCATGTTGCGTCAAAAATATGGCAGCTTGTAATGACTTGTTAACGAAGCAAGTGCACCGACATCGCAAATAAGCAATAGAACACAAGTTGGCGCAAGTCTGAAATTAAATCTATAAACAAGGCTAGATGTAGGAATGTCTTACCTACGCCGCTAAGTCAGTCACGAAGAATTATAGCTTCCGGCGGATCAAACTTCACCAATGAACTAGCTCCACCTGCAAACATACGGACTGGATCAGTAGAACATACGTTCACATTACCTAAGATTGTCATGCCTAACGAACAACAGTAATAGCTACTCCTTTAAAATGGCACACAATTCAACGGAAGAGGGCTCAGACCATTTCTTTCATGGAGTGCTGACTCAAGTCATAAACAGTTATCACTCACCCCTTCCCGTCCACTGCATCCACAGAGGAAGGAATAGAAGAAGACGCCTTCCTTCCACCACGGCTGACCCATTAGTGCTAACCTTTCATATTATAAGCGGGGTGGCACTTTTGTTTACATTTAGAGCATGTTACCTTAACAATGGTTTAGTAATACTTTCGCAAATGCGAATGTTATGCAAATCGAAACGCAAGGACACTTCCGCAACATTCATGGCCTTCCTTCTTCCACGACTGCATCTATTGCTGTGACTACATGCCATAATAACTGATGCCATGTGCCCATTGCAACAGTATCTCACCAGAGATGGTAAAATCGAGCTTCTTGCCCTAATTCAGCCATATGTGTAATATTGGTATCGGTATTTGTCGAAATGTCTTATTATATCTGTGCGTCTCTCCAATAATCCATATTCGAGAGTGAAAGTAATCGAAAGTATTATAATCATTATTTTGATAATTAAGCACAAATCTGTTGAAATGTTAATTTATTTAAACTGTGGCAGTTTTGTTTTTCAAAATATCTTAATCTAAGATAAAATACCGCAGCGCAATATTCAGCATTTAAAATTTGGATTTACATACTCTTCTACAAACCAATCAATACCTATCCGTACCAAAAGCCATGAAATTTTCAAGGATAGAAGAACACTTGCTTAAAATGCCTGCTGAAAAAAAGGCCAAAGATTTATTTTATTTTCAAAGATTAGAAAAGAAATATTTTAAATAGCCACCTACATCAAACCTTTTTGGTATCGTTTTCTAAGCAAGAAGGTGATGGACTACGTGCCTCATACGATATCTCACTGTTAATTCCAAAAGCGGAAAAAGCACGTACAACTGGCGAGAGACTAATCTTACCGGCAGTTATAGAGGTAATAAAAACTGTTCTTGATCATAAGACACCGTCAGATATTACGAGGAAAATTCCTCTGGGTAATAATTCGGTACAAAGAAGAATAGACCGAAATGGCTAAGGACACTGAAATAACGTTATGCGATTACTTTTAAATTTTCGATTCATTCCGATGAATGTACTCTAACAAATAACTAAATACTACACTTATCGTACGTGCGATTCATAAAAGAAGGAAAAAATTGTCAAGAGTTATTATTTGCCAAAATTCTAAACACCGTTATAAAAGAAAATCAATATCATAACAACAACATAAATGTGAAAAAGGAGCCAATTTCAGGAGAAACGACTTTCGGTGCAATCGGTTCCACCGACAAAATTGAGATCTAACGGATGGAAAATTCCATAGCAGTTCTTTTATTCATAGCTGTAGGAACGTATAATGTTCTTCAATCCATTTAAAAGGAAATTTATTACTTTTTTTTATATCGGATTTCTAAATTTGCAAGTTTTAATTGTCAAGGAATTACGCTGAAAAAATTTTACTTCTCCATTTAGAAATTAACTTGCCAAATTCTCCTCTTCAGTTTTTTTCTTGCGTTTACTCTGCACTGGTTTCTTTTTAGCAATCTATATTTTCCATAACGGTTGAAATGTTGCGTTTACGCTCTATTGGTTTCTTTTTATTAGTAATTTTTGAATTATTAAATTGCAGCATTCTCCATGAGTATAATTGGTTTAGCCTTGATAATAATGTAGTTTTTTGAAGTTTTAAATTTTTAAAAGAACGTAAAAATGTAAACAATCAGTTTAAACAACTGTCTTTAATTATGAAACAATATAAATGTTCAAATATTATTTTGAAGTATAGACTAACTTTTCTTGTTTTTATTTTCTATTGTTTTATTTGCATCTGAAACTTGTTTGGTTACTTAAATTTGAGTTACTGAACGGCCACGCTTTTGTCGTCTGAAAGCTGTTTACATTCTTTTCGAGATATCACTGTAGGTAGTTTATCGTTGTAGGTAGGTCCGATCCCTCTACCAAAATGAAAAAACAGCCGGTCCTGCGCTCTACCTCTGCGCTAGCCTTTTATATATACTTCCCTCCAAAAGTTAAGAAACAGAATGTTTTTCAAATCTCTCCATTACAAAAATATCACTAACTTTTAAATTCACAGTTCATGTGCATGATAGTAATGAAGTTTAAGAAAATATAAAGCAAAACCAATAGCTACCACTTTTATTTTATAGAAATAAATACTTATATAGTAGCTGGAGAAAAAATGCAAATATTGAAATTTTTTTCACGTGTTTTGTTCACGAGCAGTCTGTTGATATTAAAGTTTCGTAGACAATATCCACGAGAGTTTAGCAATGTCCAGGAGAAATCGATTCGTTGAGGTGGCGGGCGATCGTATGGATGGAAATGGGGCTGTCACACACAGATGCTGCTAGACGTCTCAAAGTCTCTCGTAGTGTGGTGCATCGACTATGGAATGAATTTGAATCCTAGGATTCTGTGTCTAGAAGACACGTACCAGGCAGACCTAGAGTTACAACACCTGCGGGAGACCGTTATTTAGCTCTTTCGGCCCGAAGAAGGAGTAACATTACTGCGCCTTCGCTCATGGCAGATCATTTAGTAGCAACAGGAACACGAATCTCAGCTATGACAGTGCGCAAACGCCTACACAATACAGGTCTGCATATAAGATGACCAATTGTTTGTGTTTCCATGATCCGAGGACGCAGGGGTACCGTTTATGTTGGGCAAGAGAACATGTCTCCTGCACCAGTAATATAAAATCTGAAAGCTTTCAGATTTTATTTTCTTTTTATTGTTTTCTTTTCTTTTTATTAAAGAATTCGATGGTAGGGGCACAAAATCGTTCTTTAGCAGTCATCTTATACTATATCATTTCTGTACTAAAATTTATCTTTTTAGCTCGAGGGAGGGTTGAACCAAAAGGGCTATTAGTCTCAAAACAAGATTTTGTGTTGAATCACTATAAAATCTGAATCACTTTTCAAATTGATGCTACCAAATATTATCGTCCTGTGTTATATTTAAAGAAATTAAATAATGAACAATTTGCATGAAGGTATGCATGTTTTTTTCATTGAGAAAAAGCAACGGTACCTAGAGCCAACAAATTTTGAATAACGTAGTCTCCCCCCGAACATAATTTTGAATTCTGAATTTGTTTTAGTGTACATTTCATAGCTTGTAAAACTTTAACGAATTTTTAATTAACAAACTCAATGATTTCAAAGCGAGCAATAGCAACACTGAACGGGAAACGGAAATTTTTATCTCCAGCGCACTACATTGTCTATCGGAATTTCTAAAAATTGGCTGTTTTTAAATATTTTTATACCGAAGGAACATTAGCGCAAATGCACTCGAGACGTATATGTCTATGTAAACGATTAAAAGTTCCCTTTGGGTATAATATAAAATTTGAAAGCTTTCAATTTTTTTTTCGTAAAGGGGACAAGATGTGTATTAAAAATTATGCTTATTATTTAAGTACTCATTTTGCACTGCAGATTCTTCGAGGGGGAGATATAAAAATCTAAAGAAGAAATTTAAAGAACTATTGCTATTTAGATTAGTAATTTATTCGAGATTTGTTTTCTTATTTTATATTTTGCATATATTGTAGAGAAATTAGGTTAATTAGAAGCAAGAGAGATTGAAAAATAAACAACGTCTTCCCCGGGAATCGAACCATGAACCTCTGGAATACGCGCCCAGCATGCAGACCACTACACCACGAAGGCACGCTAAGAAGGCGGGAAAAATACCTTATAATATATATTTAATATTCATTAAGCTTACTAGTTCACTATAGAAAATAACTGTACATTTTCATTTAGAAAATCATAATTAACGGAATGAAAATGTGGAATTTCAGCGTACCTTGTGTTCGATACAGTTTGCAACAACGTCTAGCTAATGCATATTCAGCTTATGTTTAAATCAAAATAACAAATCAGATGGCGTATATTTCGCATTTGTGACTTTCGCTCTGCTTGATAGCATACCTCTATTTTTACCCTCAGACTGATATCAAAGTTTCATTGTGATTTCTTTCAAAAATTGTGATTGGAAGGTAGAAGTGAAACTTGGCCACCCTTTTTTTTTAATCTGCGGAACTGGTTGATAAGCTGTCAAAATAGCTAAATTTTATCTTATCACATTCATTCGAAGCTTAGGAATGAATCGTTTGTTGTTTCGTCTTCGCAAAGGCAATCAATCGATACTGTTATTTTGATTGAGTCCCAGCGGGAGATGTTTGCCTACCTCTTCGAAATCGTGTATCTGGTGGCGTTCCTGACGCTGGTGCATTCCCAGCATCGGTTTGGTTGCGACGAGGATTACTGCTCAAAACAAGTGGCTCCCTGTCGGCCAATCAATTGCAAAAATGGCAGGATTCTAAAAAATGCGACGAAATGTGGTTGCTGTGACATTTGCGTAGAAAGCTTAAGTACGTATATCTTGCTTTAACATTTTGGCATTTTTTAAATATACATTTAAATTTTCATGTAATATAATTGTTCCCCAATATCACGATTTAAGTACTGTTAGCAGTAATATTTAATTATATGTAGAAATCTCATCATATTCAAATCATAATAAGTATCTAGAGAAATTTATTAAAACAAACCGGAGACCCACTGTTAATAAGTTAGTATAATGATTCTAAAACTCTCAAAAAAATTCATTTATTTGGCTAAATGAAATATGAGGCATTAGAAACACTATTTATTAATTAAAATAATGAAACAAAGATTATAAAAATTATTGGTTAAAAGTACTATAAATTAATGGTCTCAAACTTGGGGCCTCCGAAGCAATTTTACGTGGTCAGCAAATACATTTCAATTATGCTGTGGCATTCCACCCTTTTATCTAACAACTAAATGTGGAGGAACCTAATCAACAGCTAAGCGAATAACCGCTTTAGTTCAGAAACAGAGACGGAAACTCGAGAAGGGTTAATTATCCTTTACTGTTCAAAATAAGAGTTTAACAGATGGCCCCTTTGTCAGGGCGTACAGCAAATCCTCCACCTGGGCTTGAACTCAAAGTAATAAGTCTTAACTAAAAAGATATAGCCGAAGCTATCAAAATCCTAAGTAACTGGTCCTTAAATATCGAATAAGCTAGCGAAGCTATCAAGGGTCTGTAATACGGCCGAACGTAGCAACAGCTTAGAGAGACTTAGTCAAAAGGCAAACGCGTGCTAGTCACAAACTCTGAGGCTCTCTCACGAAGTCAGTGGAACTTCGACTTAAATACTACTCTTATTTATTTAACAGATGGCCCCTTTCTCAGGGCGATTCTAAGACCACATTCAGGTAGGAAACTGCAAATTGAAATTAGGATGGACAGGAAAGTAGCTTTAACTAAAGATAATTATTAAAAGAGTAGGATAAGTAGTGTCATTAAAGTTTTTGCTGCTGGAGACGTAAAAAAAATCAACAATGCCCTCCCCAGGATTCGAACTCTGAACCTCCCGAACAGGTAACGAGTATGCTTCCAATTACACCACGAAGGCATGAGGAAATGGAGGAGAAAATACCGTATATACTTCCCCTTTTGAAGGGCGGTTGGGGATTAGGGAAACCAGTCACCAAATCCTGGTGGCATGTAGCCATAATGGTTGAACATGTGGAAAGCAAGGAGTATTTTAGTTATTTGAAGTCCGATTTTACATTTTTTTAATTAACATTAAATTGAAAGTGAACCAACCAACCACCAGAAAATCCGTAATTCAACCTATTTAACTTACATTGTGATATAAATCTTATTCAAAGATTTAAAAAATAAGTACGCTTAGTTATGAATTTTCGCACTAAGAATATTTGCGTTATTTGAGAATACATTTATATGTGAACAGACTTTTTAGCGGTCGAACATTGATAAGAAAAGAACTTGATTGACCGAAGATCATCTCTAATCCATAAAGAGGATAATTTCTCGTAATTTTTTTTTCAAAGTTTTCAAACTTTAACAGAATATCGAAACATCATCAAGTGTAAATTTAAGTAAGAAATAATGAATATTTTTGTTATTTACGTACAAATGTATGTATTGTAGGATTCTCCACTGTGTAATTCTAAGTTACAGTTAAAAGTGAAGAATCAAGAACTAGTAAGAGAATTATCGCTTGAGTTCGTGAGACAATAAATAAAATTGGAAAGGGTTAAAAGACCCTTTATTATTCAAATAAGATTTAACAGAACTCCGTATTGGAGTTGTACAATAAAGCCGAAACTTGGGCTTGAACTTAAGACACTAAGAATCAAAATACACTAATCTTAACTACAGAGATTTAGCCGACGCTATCAAAATTCTAACAGAGTTGGCCCCTTAACGCTGATTGACTGCGAATCTATCAAGTACGGCCGAGCGAATTAATAGATTACGAGAGAGTAGCCTAGAAAGGCGGAAGCGTGCAGCCAGAATCTCTGGTATCTCTCTCACTAAGAAAGTAGAAATTTGCGGTTAAATACTGCTCTTCCTCATTAGCATTCAGATGTGATTCTAAAACTAGAAGTGTGAAACTAGAATTCTAAACTCTGTGTGGCTAGAAGTGGTAAGTAGAAATTAAGAATCGATAGGAAATGAAGTTCAACTCAAAGTTTAACTGTTAATAAAATTAACATAATCGTTACAATATTTTATGTAAATGTATAATTTATGTGTCGAAGATAAATTTAAAAAGTAAGAGAAAGCGACTAAATTACCATTGCATATTTTCTAGTTCTGTCCCACTTAGAAAATTTTCATAATTTGTTTAATTTAAATTTAAATTAAAGTAAGTTGCTTCATTATTATGATTGGAAATAAATCTAAGTTTGAAATATCAGCATTTAGCACTCAATATATTTCATATGCAAAATTGTCAAAATTGTAACCAACAAAAATATCTTGCACGTGCCAATGAATTAACGACAACCTTCGATTGTCGCAGATTTCGAAGAAAACTCTACCGATTTCTAGAGTGATCAGACTTAGGTGCCTCTTTTTCAGAACTAAATATTGTGTGAGATAAGTGCCTGAAGAAATTGCATGCAACAAAGAAATTTATTTTTATTAAAGCTAAGGATCAACTTTTTCCCGTAGGCTATACGGGACCAATTTTTATACCAATTTTTTATGTATTAAGTAAACGTGCGGGCCATATATGCCCCAGCCTCTGCAAAATATTAATTCTAAATAAGGCCATTTAGTCAGGAACAGAAAAACAAACCAGCAGAGTCTAACATTTTCTACTCCATATTAAAGAGTAAATTTTTAAATCTTCATAATTTACTGGTATTTCGAGACACATTCGAAGTAGTGAACGTGCGGGACGTACATGTCCCAGCCCGGTGCAAAAAGTTAATTCTGATTTTTTTTTCCCCATTAATACATTATGAACACGTTTCTGATTCATAACTTTACGGTCAACGTAAGGAATTATAACTTTGTACTTTCTTGTATTAATTAAATAAATGAAAAACATATACGTAAATTTAGCTCCAATGGGTTTTCAAATGGCTTTGCGAGGAAAACACGCTATCATTTCTACGCACTGAGCTGCTGATAACCTGCAGCAAATAATGGGGTTTTCTATGCATATTCTTTGCCCGGAGTTCCACTATACTTAAAATCATTCTTACCTACCAAAACTAGAGACAGTAAACGTGGCGCCATCTAGCGAATATTTTCACCAATTCGATCTCATTTGGAAGCAGTATTCGTTGGTTTATTACGTTACGGAGCGAGAAAATTCACCTCCGGATAGACAATTACTTGCTTCTAGAAGCCAGGCTAGCTCCGGGAAGTGTAATCTAATAAGAATGAAAGTTGCTCAAAAGCTACTATTTATTAATTCAGTATTAATTTATAGCTTAGATTCACGCATAAATTAAATAAATTGCTATTTATGCTTTTTCACTCTAAGAAATGCAGTGAGTGGTTCAGTGTTTATCTTTGTAAAAAATGAATTAAAGTGAAAAATATTTTACAGTCCAAACATGTTTATTCATATAAATGTAACTGTATCATATTTACTTTATAAACTGGTTAGACGTATATGTTATTACGCATAATTTACCGAAGTCTAGATATTGCCTTAGATTAGACAGAATTCAGGTTTGCCAACAAAACCACAAAATGATCCATTTCTATACGGTATAACAAAACGTTCTCCATTGTAATGCAAAAATTTTAAGTTTTCCCCTCTTGACACAGTTTTATTTAGCTCATTTTCACCGTTTGTTTGCTAGGGACAAATTTTCAAAATCATTTTTCCTTCCCTTTCACTAGGCAATTTTCTTAAAATTTTACAAACATACGTATTTTCAATTAAAAATCAACAGCACAAAGACTTTTTACTTCCTTGCACGAAGTAAAGGAAGTATTGCAGTCGCGAAAAATTTCGGGTATTTTATTTCAACAAAAATATTCATTTTGACTGCTCTCGAATCCATTTGAACTATATTTTTGTGTGACATCTGTTCGTACGGACAGAATAAAGGACACTTTTTTTTTTCGAAACCGGATTGTAAAATGAATTTAAAATAGATTTAGAAAGGGATTTTTTAATGTCGTCTAAACGTAAGAACGTACATACGTATATATCTCGCATAAGCCGCAGAACGTTGAAATTTGGTATATACGGCAGCTGTAACATACAGCTGTGCAACCCTCTTTTTCGTTGCAAACTCCGTACCAAACGTATATAAAATTATATATATACTGCCACTCTTTTACCCGGCTCAGTGAGCTCAGTAGTTTTGTCCTTATATATTGAGAAATTATGCTCTTTTTAATGTAAAATGGATTGAATTAAGTTTTTCTTATGTTATTCTTATGTTGTTCATTGAATGGGAGCTGGTTTGTTCCCCTTGAAAAGTCAGCTAATGTCCGATCAATAGCAATAATTACTTACTTTTAATTTAATTTCTTTTTCACAGTTTGAAATTTTGTTATTCATGATTTACTTCAAGTCCCCGTAAAACATTTTTAACAATTTACATTCAAGTTACTTTAAAACATTTTTCGGAATTAAACTTCCTACCTATGGGTTCAATCTTTTTAGACACTTCTACTAAAATTAATATTAGGAGATAATCAATATTTCTTTAGTAAATAAGTTATTATTATCTTACTTTGCAGCTATTGCGTAAGTATTAGAATAACTTGTTTTCGAACTAAGTGAATATAAGATCATACAACATATATATGTATGTGGGATTTAAAATTCATAGCTTAATATTTTTCCTCGCGCGCTGTCTAAATTTTAGCTGTTGACTACACAAGTGTGTTTGCCACATTCAAATAAGCTAACCTAACCTGTGGTTGATTTTAAACATTATGTGAATTAAAATTATAGAGACGTTTCCCTTTCTAAATGTTACCTAATTGTGAAACTCGATGTTTCTAGCCTAGATTTCTAATCGATTAGAAAGGAAACCAAAAATACCTAGTTTCAGAATTACTTAATTAAAATTAGGTGGATGAAAATTCTAATGACTTTTTCTTTCTAATTATTACCTAATTGTGAAACTATATATTTCTAGACTAGATTTCTAACCGATCAACTAATTGATTAGAAATTAAGCCTAGAATATGACATTAATTAGATCTCTAATTAATTTATAATTCTAGATTAGATTCTAATCTATGTTAAATTCAATTTGGTTTATTTTTTCTTTTTTGGTTAAAAGCATTTGTTTTATTGTATTCTACCAGTGTCCGATGTTATGCAAATTGTATTTCTTTCTTTTGTACCGAGGAGCGGCGCAGACGCAAATTTGTTAGGTTTTTAAAGCTCTCGTTTGGAGCTTTGAGGTTGCTGTGAATTACTGGAGTTTCAACTAAGCAGAGGTTCTTCTGAGTTTTGTGTTGGTAAGCCGCTACCGAAGTCGGAGTTTGCAGTGTGGTCTTCGCCGTTCCTCAACCAACCTACTGTTTGAAAGCCAATAAAGAAGTTTCGGTCAACATCATGACTCTGAGGTTTCTTGGGGTTCTATACTGAAGTAATATCAAGTCAATTTACAGTCCACTATTTTTAACTTTAAAAATTTGTTTCATTAGTTCTAAAAATGCTGCATCTACCTGAACTTTAAATATTTATATATCATATGATAAATTTATATAAATGAAGCATTAAAACAAAATAATTTCTTTCTTATACAGAAGTAATAAACGTATGTAATATTCTCAATCTTTGCAGAGGAGGGTGATAAATGCACTACTCATGATTATGGCACCATTCCAAGGCAAGAATGTGGACCTTCATTAACATGTCATAAAAAGGAGAAAGTATGTGTACGTGGTATGTGTGAAACGTAATATTTTTAGCTTTTGTTTTAATGATGTTGTTCCTTTTCTCGCTTGTGGTGTAACAAATGGTGCAATTGTAATGGTTTGATGGAGATAACGTTCACGATCGACAGGATAATATGTAAATACATAGAATTTATTTTTTAATACTGAAATTAAAACCAAGCAAAATTTAAAATTTATATATATATTTAGGTACTTTATTATTACTGTCCCCCATTTTATAAACAGCAACAAGATTATTGACCAATCGCCAACGCAATCCATCTTCCCATGACCGGCAGTCCTAACGATGATCATTTAAAGTTAGCTCGTGACAATAAGAGTTCCGAGTAAACTGTTATCGTATTTTTTTCTTTTTTCTTCCACATAAATGTCAACAATTCATGGTCACTCACAATACTGCAGGTACGAGAACAGTTTTGATTATTGGACGACATTCGACATATATTTTCGTTTTCAAAATAAGGAAACAAATGTTTGATTTACCAAGAAGTGAGTAAAATGATTGATATTTCATTCAAAAAGACGTATTTTACATAGCTTTCGAATGCTCGAAAATGGCAGTTAAATAGAACTACACATCAACGAAAATATTTTGATGTGCTATGAAAAGTTTCAAGCGAAGGAATAAACGTACGTCTTGACAACTGGTTCAGTAAATTCAGAATGCTGTTTACAACAGTACACCGATTTATTTACTGTTGGGAAGAAAAACCGACTCCAATTAAATAGTGAGAGAATAAACTTAGCCTTTGCAAAAATACAAATATTGGCTGTAAGAGTGTTTTGAAAGAGGTGTATTCTCTACATCTAAACCAAAACTTAAATTAGTGAGTATAGGTGGTCCTGGTAAAATTGTGAACATTAAACGAAAATCTGTTCATGCAGGAAAAGAATAATGCCTTCAGAGTTCTTCCACTATAATGGATATTTGGCAGGTTAAGCTGAGAATCTAGTAGATTCCTTCCTGCACAAGTTCCGAGTTCAAGAGACAACAGGAATAGAGAGGCAAACATGGCAGAAATCGTTGACCATGTACAAGAAAGACTGGTGATTTATTCACCTTGTTGACGAACATAGAAAACAGGGGAACTGCAAAAAAGCAAGTCATTTTACTGTGAACCAGAAATTTAATTTTGTTGATCCAGCAACAACTGCTTCTTCGCAAAATACTGTGGCTCTTCGCTACGTGACGGAAGAAAAAATCAACCACGAACGGTTCTCCATGATCACGACTCTTACCTTGCGGAATTTATGCGGATAAAATGTTTCCGATGCAGTCACAAAGTAAATGTGACAAGAAAACATGATCCTGGCGCCAACTTGGCATTACAAAACGGGGGCTGTAATAATAACGACGTACCTTTTCTTCTAGTGTTGTCACTTTCTACAGGTAATAATACTAGAAGATACTAGACATAGTACTAGTAATAGACATAAAATAGAAGATCATAGCCATAGGTAATACAAATGTATGAATATTTTTCTCCAAAAGAGAGCCCACCAGTTGCCGAGCGGTAAAGTCGCTGAACACTGGTAGTTCGGTCCGAGGTTCGAACCCGCGAATGGGCTGGCTGCATGGGCGTTTTCGTGGTTTCCCCATGTGTAACGTGTATACGAGCCAGTTTCCCTTAGAAAGTCCTCCCCGAAGGCATCCCTTCCCTTAGGTAGATAGCCCTAGTGTGCTTTGCCATAACTAAATACACACACTATTCTCCAAAAGAGAAGCAAGCAAAATGTGCTCCTTATCTGGAATCGCATTATTATAACTCTAAGTAAGGAAACATTTTAATTATTTTCCCAAATTACGTGTCTAAATTATTGTTATGAATTTTGTACTTAGATAAATAATTCTAGTAGGTAAAATCCTTGTATTTCTCTGTGAAATGTAGCGCGAAACAAATATTAAGAGAAAGCTATACCGAGAAAGTAAGAATACGTGCTCTTAACATTGAGTAAATAGGTATCTCGGTAATAAGTATTGAAATTGAACGAATTTAATTGACCACTATGTTAACTGTAACCGTAATTTCACACTCTTATTTCTTTCTAGAAATTCAGAGAAGCGGAAAGTACTAGAAATATCTCGCGGCCGGTTGAAAACTATTTAAGGCCGAATCTTTTCTCAGTTGCTTAGTTATTGCTGTTGCGAGTTGTTTAGTTCCGCGTGAATGGAGATTTCCGAGTTAGCTTTCTTTTTAGATGCGTTATGCATTGTGTTATATTTAACGTTTTTAGTAGTGTTTGAATTGTAACTACTGATTATACTGCGTGATATTGTAAACACGTCTACGAATATCTCTCAGGAAAATTCCAAAGTTCTGATACATTTCTTTTGATAAGAATAAATTTTATTAACCTATTATCGAACTTGTACATTCAATCTGTTAAGAACCCGTACGCACGTAAGAGCAAATCACAAGAGAAAAACATATTATCGCTTGATATTTCCGCTTTTGATGCTCAATGAACTTAATTAATATTTTTATCATATTGGAACCATAATAATTTCAATAAAATAACTTTCGCGTTTAAATTTAAGTTGTATTCCAGTGCTCTTTTACGCTTCTTTTTTGGAACTATTACTCTGTTAGTGATCCGATGTGAAACCCATTTTATTTCTCCCATTTTTAGTATAATACTATACATCCGTCACTGAATTCTTAAAGAAAAACGTAATGTACCTTCTGTTGGCATTTAAACATCACTTTTGTTTCATAAACTGAAGCAGGCTTTTCTTCTATATTCAAGCTTTCCTTCAGAAGGCATTGCAAATAAAATTTTAATAATATACCTCTACAGACGAAACAACGTTTCCTCGAAAGTTCCACGCTTCTTCTAGAGTTACAGAAAAACAGTAATCTGAGTTTCAATCTAAATACCTCGTGTCTTCGTTCGAAATTCTTCCCTCAGCGTATCTTCAAATGCAACATCGCACTCAAATTTTATGTCGCAATGTAGTTCTTCTACTTCTAGCCTAGAAACAAACTTACCTTAATATCCTGTCTGAAGGAAAATTTGAGCGGGTACACACATTGATTTCTAGAGTCACTATTTTCGTATTAAATATATTTTTCTCCGATTTTAAAAGGAAAAAAAGACTGCATAACTTCCTTTAGCGCCGGATATTATTGAATCATTAACGTTTACATTATAAGCAATATTTTTCTTTCCTTATACGAAGTAAAGGAAGTACTGTGATCACGAAACATTTCGGGTACCATATTTCAACGAAATTATTCATTGTGACGCTATCGAATACAGTTTAACGATGTTTTTGCGTGACATCTGTACGTAAGGGAGAGAATAAAAGACTTTTTTTCCCAAAACGGAAAAGAGGAATAGCTTCAGAACGTTGATGAAATTTTGTATGTATGAATACTATAACATGTAGCTGTGTACCTTTCTTTTTGGTTCAAATCAGCCGCATAAAAAAATATATCGGGTGATCAAAAAGTCAGTATAAATTTGAAAACGTAATAAATCACGGAATAATGTAGATAGAGAGGTAAAAATTGACACACATACTTAGAATGACATGGGGTTTTATTACAATAAAAAAAATGGTTCGGTATGGGTTGGATTTACCACATCTACTGTTATATGGCCTTTTTTCTTCGAGGAAATGCGTGATTCTGGTTTTGTAACTGCTACCGTGACGGATGAGAGGTACGCCGATATGTTACAGAATGGCATCGTCCCCAGCCTGGCTGATAAACACCTGCTGGAACGTACGATTTTTATGCAGGATGGCGCTCCACCCCATATTGCTAGACACGTGGAAGATCTCTTGCGCGCGTCGTTTGGTGATGATCGTGTGCTCTGCCGCCACTTTCGTCATGCTTGGCCTTCTAGGTCCCCAGACCTCAGTCCGTGCGATTATTGGCTTTCGGGTTACCTGAAGTCGCAAGTGTATCGTGATCGACCGACATTTCTAGGGATGCTGAAAGACAACATCCGACCCCAATGCCTCACCATAACTCCGGACATGCTTTACAGTGCTGTTCACAACATTATTCATCGACTACAGCTATTGTTGAGGAATGATGGTGAACATATTGAGCATTTCCTATAAAGAACTCATCTTGCTTTGTCTTAATTTGTTATGCTAATTATTGCTTTTCTGATCAGATTATTGCTTTTCTAATTATTGCTTTTCTAATTATTGCTTCTCTAATAAAACCCCATGTCATTCTAAGTATGTGTGTCAATTTTTACCTCTCTATCTACATTATTCCGTGATTTATTAAGTTTTCAAATTTATACTGACTTTTTGATCACCCGGTATATATATATATACATATCTTTATTTATATACTTTTGATATATATATATATATACCCGTTCTGTTACTCGGCTCGGTGAGCTCAATTTTTTTATTCTTATACGTTGGTAAATGTTTATATATTTATGTATATATATATATTGATTTAAAAGTAATTGAGTTATTTTTTTCTTATGTTCCGGTTAAAGTTTTTATGCCTTTTTAGTTAATCTGCTTGCTTTAATTGTTGTAGAATTATCAACAATTTAAGGGTTGTTTACGTGCAACTAAGCCTAACTTAGCACCCATATTTGTTTATATTTGAAACCTAGCAGAATAGTGAATTCAGTTTCTGCACCTTCAGTGTTTTTTTGCCTATTGGGACCAAGTAAACTTTCAGTCTTGTGCACCAAAAAATCTGCCTTCTTGCAGGATGGCCGAATTCCTTCTTTTTGCACAGAAACTCTAATTTTAATTTTTTTTTTAATTTTAACTGTTTTAATTGTATTTGATGACTTATGTTGTTTTATATTTCTCAAATTTTAATGAAGATATTTTCAGTTTTTATGCATTTTTTCCTTGCCGCGAAGTGAATTAGTTGAATGAGAAATATATCTCTAATGAAATTCGAGGAAATAAGTTTAAATGAAATGCAGAAAAAAATATGTGCAGTTTAATAATCCGTACAAGGAAGTCATGTGATATATACCTCTTATTTTTTACCTTTGCTATTCTTCTTCACTTTTTAACCAGTTTCAAATTAAAAAAGAATAATGGTTACACTTGCAAAAACGCGAATTAATAATTTTGTGTGCCAATAAAAAGAAATGTTACAATTGAAGATTCGAACCCCAATCAGAAAGCAAACACTTTTTTGTATGCAATAAAGGCAATTCCGTGAGAAATACTGAGGAGTATTAATGCATTCGAGTAAGTAAACTATTAATACGTTTTTAATAATTGCTTGTCAATCAATGAAATACAGTAGTGCGAGATAACACGAATCCTCCCAGGCAACAAATTAATAATGAACGCATCTTAAAATGCTGATTACTCACAGCTTAATGCGCTGTTATTATCAACGATATCACTTGAAATTATTTCATTTGTCTGTCAAAACGAATCAATTATGATTTGTGCTAAAGGCAAATTCTCCAAAAGATATTTTTTGTGAGCAGGAAGCAGATTTATAACAATTTTCAGGATAGCGTTTAAAATTTTAAAGCCATTTTTGCAAAAAATTTGAACAAGTCTAATTCTTTTTCAACTTCACTTCTTTTTACTCACTAAAGCAAATTGCAAAATTTGCAAAAACGTGATTTTTGACTTTATGTATTTTTTGCGTTTAATTCGCTATTATGGCCTGTGGAATCAAACTTAAAATATACTTACAGGTTTTGTTGAAGCTACATTTAATGTGTCAAATCAGTGAATGCGAAGCTAATATCACATCAGCATCACGCAAACATCACACCATTATCACAGCAACAAATGTAAAAAGCAACAGATTTTTTCTATAAGTGCATTTCCTCACAGTCAGTTTAAACGACATTTTTCTGTCCGTAATATTTTATGCATGCAGACGAAATTTTCATTTGATACATGTATTCAGCGTGGGTCAAGCAAACTTAAGAAATACTCATGAAATCTGTGTAACCTATTTATATAAAATATTTGGAAACAAAAATTCCTCTAAATATTGCACTCGACCGGCCATTAAGGGAATTTGTTTTCCAATACTACAGTATTTTTAAGAAACAGCGGTTAAAAGGTGTTTGCTGATATTGTGTCCATATGTTTGAAACTTGAAAATTTGTATGAAGATGACAGAGAGTCTGAGAAACACCTGTACAGGTAAATCAAAACATTTTCGATTTCCTGACTTTGTAGGGCGAAATTATTTCCTTGAGACGCAGAGTTTAAAAGCCACAGCTTTGCTAATAGACACTGGATGTGTTGATGCAGAAGCATTAACTGCCCTCATGATTATTACTGTAGCACATACCAAACAGTTTTTTAAATAAATTGTAATATTCGACCAAATGTGTGTTTTGTGTGCCAATATTAGCACAAGAAATTCATCAGCATTTTCCAAAAATACTTTCTTTTCTTGCAGAATGTTGTTTCAGTTTAGGTAACTTTAGCTGATATAAATCATTCAGCTTTTCGAAAGCTAGAGTAATTACTTTTGTATATGCATACCGTGGTGTCTTCTCTTTGATTGGAGGAACAAGTTAATGCTCCAAACACTAGTTGCCCTGCACTCTGTTAATTCGCCCTGGAGGTCGGCTGGGAACAATCACAGCGTTCTAGCTGGGTCAATATTTGGACAGACTCGACTTCTGGGGAAACATTAACAACCTTTCTCTTCACAGTGTCTATAACCATCGTTTATTCGGTGGTAGGTTCAGACTCGGCAGAGACCATATGGTACTATCTTGTCAAAGATTTGACTGCCCCTTGATTGTGGAGACGCTACATGGTTAGCTTTCGAAGGTGGTCCTTGGGGGTTTTACTCCCCTTCGTCAACACTAGGGAAGCTTCGATGTCTAACATCCGTTCTAAGTTTTTTCGGTGAATACGTTGCAGTCCACCATTTTTCGTTTCAAAAACCAGACCTTTGTGAAACTGATATTGTACCGGAAATGTCTCCTTAGATCTCCCTAGAGGTTTTGACGTTTAACCGTGTAAGGCAGCCTCGAGCTAGCCAGGTCTGGGCCCCCTTCCTCCTAGTGTGCTGCTATGCTGTACCCTAATAATTTAACAGGTGTCGCTCAAATGTTGAAAACTGCGCACGGCTAGCCACAAGAAAAGCTCTGCGTTGAACAGCAAAAGAACTACATTCTCGTCCAAAATACTGTCAGTCAGCTTGCTGCTAGCACGGCCTTTAGAAAATACAACATTGTATTTTGAAGTTTGAATTCATGCCCTGCATTCCCAATGTCTAGATTTGATTATTACTTCTTTTTTTAGCTTTGAAAACCAAAAATATTTTTTAAAAAGGGAAGATGTCAGAAATACCTTCCAAATAGTTTCTGAATTTCAAAATTGGTATTTTTTATTCGCGAAGGAAAAAGTTTAATTGTTATATGACGGGAGATATGAATTTACTATCTAGTATATTTTTATTAAAAGTGCCGAATGACTGAGAAGTCATAAAAGGCAGCAAATTAGATGCAGTAGCCTAACACTAATTGTGCAGTGAACGAGTAATTTTAGTATGGCGAGAATCGCCAAATCTATCAGGAGATTGGTACCATCTAGTCATCGAAGATATAACAGAACACTATTTGGCTTTTTCCTTCAAGAGTCCTGAAAAATAAGATACATGTAGATAATCCAAGTACCTTTTGCAAATGCCTGCTGTAATCACTACTAACATACCGAAAGATATACGACTTTTTTGACATCACTGGTAAGCAGTTTCAATAACCCTCTACAGATACCAGTGCAATAACGTTCCGTATATTCAGTGCCAAAAAGAAATGATAAGCACAATGATATGTATTTGGTAGTAAAGATAATGCTCTAAAATAAGGAAAACATCTACATGACTTAAGATAATCAACATGTGTTTTTAATAGGCTACTTTCTTTATATTAAAGCAGGTAGCTTGATAATGTTCACTTGTATAAATATTTGCTTTCAATAAAGTCTTAGTAACTTAGTAAACTTAGAAATTTTGTATCTGGATTATTTTGTTCGGTTTCTCAAAGAAATTATATGCATTATCCACTAAGAAGAGTGGTGGTCTGAATGGAAATGAATGTATCATGGACTTAGATAACGACAAGGTTAAATGTTAGACGTATTACAGCACAGTACAACACGCTATGAAAAAGGAACTCCCAAACCTGGGCTATTTGAAGCCCTTAGCAAATGTCCCAACCCCTGGAGGCAATCCAAGGAGTCATAACCCCCCGGTCAATCGAGGGGGACAAAATTGCACACAGTCAAGGTTACACAAGTCAGTAGCGATCCGCAAGCAGTCGCCTACAAAGAGAACGAAGTCAGGTCAAAGACTGTATCCAAGTACTGACCAAGAGAAGCCAAATCCCCGAGAACAACCTTCAGTATATCACCATGTAACATCTCCACAGCTAAGAGACAGACAAGACAGTACTAGTACGGTCCCAGCCGAGCCTAAACCTACCACCGAACAAACGATGGTTCTAGTCACTGTGAGCACATTATGTGCCCCAGGATTCGAGTCCGTCTAGGCACATGTCCTAGCCAAAACGCCGGGAGTCGTTCCGGCATTTTGGCAGTCGACACTCTGCCATCCAACAAGCGTTGAATGTGCTTATTATTTCATGAATAGCAATCCTAAGTTATCCACTGATTACCTTCCTCTCTTTCTGTATGACAGGATCAGACGAAGAACTGCAAGTATATCTCAGCTTATTGTGGATAATTTTATCGCAGCCCAAAGAGGGTCAGAAGAATGTTTCATGTGAAAGAATTGTTTGAGAGAAGACTTTTCACGTGTGTTCCAATGGATTGGTTTACACAGTCACCTCTACAAAGGCTGGCAAAAAAACACGTCGCAGTGAGCATACAATAATGGACCTCAGTAATGCTAGCACATAATCCAATCGCTTACAGAACTATGACTCAATCGCATTACGTTCCAGAAAGTGAAAACGAATACTACATAAAGCATTCCAGTATTCTCGAAAGGAAGACTTACAAAAAGAAGAATATCCTAATTTGGATTACAAATACTCTGGCTCTTACACTGACCTTCAAGTACTTTTTTTTTTTGTCTTTGAATGTTCTGTAATTTCACAACCTTGATCCCCAAGTCCTTGATTTACACACGATCTCTTTTATTTCCGTGGAAGTTGTTCATTTTTACATCGATGACTGCATAGAACAGCTGTCGAGCGGTAACTTACATATAACGGAATTTAGTAATTAGCCATTTCAGCTGCGATGCGATAATGCAGTTGAACATTTAAGGAATCACTTAGCAAGATCTTCCCTGTCCCCATCTACGAGATCACTGAATAAACTGCGAAAATATTTAAGATCTCTGACAAGAATTCATCTAACTTGCATTCATGCCAGGAATTCTTTCAGGACTAAAAAATACTTTTTCATTTATATTTGAAATACATTTAGGTCACCATTTGATCGGCCACGTGATTTTTACAAAAAAACGCATTATAATTTTTTCAGATGCGTATAACTATTGAAAAATACAATAAATGCTTGTAATATCTGTACATTTGCAAAACGATGTTTCGCTTTTGACTCAACATTTATGGCTTGAAACTATTGTTTTCTAACTTTCAGAGAAGAGTATTTCAGAATATTAACTTTTGTTTTTCTTTATAGTATCAACTCAGTGTGTAAAGGATCAACAGAAATTAGACCAAGAATCTTCAACTGGAAAGTTATTTCAAAGGCCGAAGCCAAAATGCGATGACTTTGGACTGTATGAGGCTATTATCTGCATACCTGGAGTTCTGTAAGTTTTTTATTTTCCTGATTTGTTGTTAAAGTACTTTGAATAAACATATACTAAAATCAGAAATTTTGCAAATAAAATTAGTTTGCACATATCACCATTTGGTTTATCACCAAATAAGGTGATTTTTAAAACGAAAGCTAAGCAGCTGTGTCCAATTTCGAACTGAATCGAAATAAATTCTGTTAAAACCAAATTAGTATCTGATCTTTAAATCTACAGTAACATCCAAAAAAGCAATGAAATTAATTAATTCTTCAGTTTTACGTGCTATCTACTGTTTCAAATTAAAAAAATTCTTTTTAAGGACAGATAACTGAAACCTCACTACTAAACAATACAGATGCAGCCACTCTTCTGAAAATTTAAGATACAGTTTAATTTTTTTAAACTTTGCAAAAATACTACTGCAAAAACATTAGGCAAGAATTTTATTTTATTGAGTAATGTATATGTATTAAAATCAGCCTCAACTGTTTAATAATATACAGTATAAATAATCAACAGTATTAAAATAAAACAAATTTTTAGATACAATCTCTAACAAAAACAGAAAAATCGAAGCAACACAAAACTATTTGCAAATTAATCTTGTAAAAGTGCAATAGTAAAAATGTAAAGATTAATATTGTTACGAAATGTACAGGCGCGGTAGAATGGCTTCTCCGCAAAGCAGTTTTAGGGTTGCCATAAAATGGCAAGGGGAGGCAGGGTTGCACATTTGGCGAGAAATCGCCCATTTGGCGATATTTGGTGACAGAATTGGAAGATATACCATAGACTGATGGAGAACCTTCTGGAACGAATTCTTACCGGTTTAGCCCAGAATGTTCTCAAACACAGCTATATAAACCCTGCTGGTCCGCAGTCTGTTAGTGTGTGTGTGCCTCGCATAAAGTGTGAGAGAATCAATATCGAGTTGGTGTCTCGTCTAGCGAGTCAATCTCTGCGGAGTCGATCGAGTTGACAGCCAAGCAACGAGTGCCAAGTGGGTCGTCGAGTTCATCGAAGGAGTCTGTTAGTGTATCGCGGTTAGTGCATCGTCGAGAGAGCGTGTTGAGCTCCGGGAACGACTGAACCGAAGAGTCGGGAGCTGTGCTCGTGTGTCGTCGAGTGCATCGCGAGTTGTAGCGTGGAGAGTCTCGCGAGTACGTGGAGTTCCGAAAACGACCAAACAGAGTCGGGAACTGTACTCCGAAAAGCAGAGTCGGCTGCTTTGCAGGAAGCTGTCTCCACCGTTATAGCCTGATATCCTGAAGGCTGTGTCGCTGATCGCGTCAGCGTGTTTATAGTAGTTCATCGACGACTGCAAAACGTGATTTGGAGCTGACCTGACAATACTGCCCAATAAGGTGTGTTTCGATACTTCATCAAGTGTCGTCGTTATTCACTCCAAATCCACACAAACCCCGTACGAACGTGAAGGTGAAAATAACATAACAACTGGTGTCAGAAGAAAGGAAAAACGTAACAATATTAAGTTAGGCTATTGGAATACGACAAAGCACGCGAGAGCTATCTGCCTAAGGATACTTTCGTGGAGGACTTTTTAAGGGAAGTTTACTTTTATTTACGGTTACACATAGAGAAAACCATGAAAACCATGTTAGCATTACCAGTATTCAGCGGCTTTAACCTATTGGCCACTGGTGAAACGTAGCGCTGGTAAAACTAAGAGGAACGTTACAAAATTGTCTCTGATGCTTCTGCAGAGCTGATCGTCACGCTTACTTTAAAGGTATTACTATTATATTATATATTACATTATTGTTTTATTTCTTGGGATAAGAATAAATTTTATTGACTTTTCATTGGACTCGTGCGTTCAATTTATTACGAACATTTTATACACAGAACAATATGTATATTACTAAAAAAAGCAATAATGTATTTATGGTAAAATATTTACCTTTTAAGATATTTCTCCCGCCTTCTTAGCATGCCTTCGTGGTTTAGTGGTCAGCAGACTCGACGCGAATTCAAGAGGTCCGTGGTTCGACACCTGGCGAAAGCGTTGCTCATTTTTCATATTTCCTGTCTCAAAATAACCTAATGGATCTATAACCTTTATATCTTTATTTTATTTTTAATATCTGGGGTCGCGGATAAAACTCGATGATACAAAGGGGTCATGAATGAAAAACGTTTAGAAAGCGCTGAACTGGTTCATCTCAAAGCTCACCACCTCCATAATTTCGGGGATCTGAAACAACAGCGGTGGAATGTTTGAGAAAATGCATTAAATCACAGCATTAAGCAATAATATCCCTTTATGAGAAGGCCATATATCCATATGTAGCGTCGTTAGAGTGAGCTTTATCCCTTACAGATTAATGGTATTTGTGTATTTCAAAATAGAAAATAAATATATAGTGTATTGTTATAAGGTATTTCTCCCGTCTTCTTGGCATGCCCGTGGTGTGGTGGTCTGCACGCTCAGCGCGTAATTGAGAGGTCCGTGGTTCGATTCCCGGCGAAGGCGTTGCGTATTTTTCAATCTCTCTTGCTTCCAAAAACTCCTAATGTCTCTACATTGTAATAATTTATTTCTCTCTTCTTGTATATCATATACTCCAATTTTCACTTAAATTAGTTATGGTTTCCAGATATTTCAATTGTTTTTCTTTTACTGAAGAATTTACTTATAGAAGTCAGTGCGATAAAAGTATAAGATTTAGTTTTGATAGGATAGTTTTATATGTTTTGGTTATATGATATCGTACTTGTATAGATAAACTACAAGTACGAAAGAATAAAGTTGCTAAAATGCTCATAAAGAAAGAACAAGCTAAAATGTACATTGTTAGTAAATGGAAACTTACTGCATTTTAAGTAAATCGTTCCACTTTGAAAAAATCAGTACTTAACCTTACTTGAGTAAAATTTCTTTAAAAAGTCAGTATAATAATTGCGTATCAAAATGTTATTATTTTATTATTCAGCCATCACAAAAGAATACTATAATGTGATGACTGAATAATTTTATAAATTCTCGTAATACACATTGTTGATTTTCACACCATCACGTGACATCTGAATTGGAATAGATGAGGAAAGCCTACTGTCAGCGATGCATCTGGCAATGTCCGGGCATTTTCTAGAGAGGAGAAACACTACAGACTATTTAGTTTGGAGTGTTCATATATAGATTAGAAGTTGATCGTAACTAATGGGTTACGAAAGAGTACTCGTACCCCGTTATAACATCTGAGTGGCAGCCCAGACGGTATAGTGATTAGGGGAACCGCCTGGGGAATGGGACTATTCTCTATGGCCGTTTCGCCGTCGGACTTCGCCGTCAAGACATATTTTTCTTTACACGACTGTATTATATCTTGTCGTTTTATATAAAGTTGATTTAAATTAATAGCTCTGTTTAGTTTAATAATTTAATTTAATTTAATAAACATTTTATGTAAAATGTTTTTGTGCACAGTTTTAAACAAATACACCGTTACACGTGAAATATTAATATCAAGAGATTAAGGTGCTGACAAGATTACAAAGTAATTTCGTTTCCCATTCAGATTTCATAAGGCGGGAGAAATATCTTATAAAATAACAATATATATATATTAAAAGTAACTTTTAAGAAGTATACAAAAGGTAAACATAATTATAAACTAAATAAATTTAATACTAGTATAATATGGAAAACAAAAAAAATTTCCTGCTCTGTTAACTCAGTCACACTACAGGTCCACCCCACCCCCTTTGGGCACTTCGTGGAGGTTCAACCTCCACTATTACCCTTCCAGGGAAGCAGCGCACCAACTGGATGACACCTGGCAGCACTGGTCGTCAATTGCTCCTGCCAGTCGCATGGGCGAGCCCGTCGCCGAGGGACATTACCCAGCTAACCGGGGGGAAACCCCCCGGCTACGGAACCAACCGCTCAGGACATGACAGACCCCAAGGCAGGTCGATAAGTCACCTTTTCCAGGGCCTTCAGAACCACCAAGTTCATAAATTGTATACTCCCGTGGCCGAGACTGCTTAGGTACAGATCCTGGCCAGTAGCTTCGCAGAATTCTCTACGTCGACACCTGGGGGGGGGTATAATATGGCAAGATTAAATACAGTCGTGTAAAGAAAAATATGTCTTGACTGCGAAACGGCTACGATAAAATGGCGACGGCAAAGGTTCTAGACCCAGCCGACTGCGATACAAAAGGGTCAGGGCTCGTATCGCGGAGAAGGCATAGTGGTATTTGTCCGGCCCCCCTCATAGGAGGCAAAGATGGCTCACCTATTAGGTGCCTCCATAATAAAGTGACCACTGCTTCTGGCCTTAGTATTGGCCAACGTCAGTGGACAATTCCTTTGGGGGGGGGAATAAAATCTGAGTTACAAAGACATAGCTTTGTTCTAATTCAATTCGGTAAATGCGATCAGTATTAAATTCAGAGCAGAATACTTCTTCTGTGCACGCGATATTTGTCTTTCCTTGACCTACATATAAAGTTTAATGCAAAGCTATCGCCATATCACTTACGTTCATAAAAGAAAAAGAAAAATCATAGCTTTTATGACGCTATGAAAGGAAGTTATGTAATTTGCTTTTGCTTTGCAAACCTATTTTATGCTTCTCATCTATCAGCTATTTTTAGCAGACAGAATTTTATGCGCGGATCGCAAAATCTCTCGCCTTCTAGTGAAAGGCTTTTGATAAATGGAAATCCATAATTGGGCATATGAGATAAAAAAACGCTCAGGCGCACAAGAAATATAAGGAGATGTGTATTCTCCCGCTTTTATGAAGTTGCCCTTGCTAAGATGAAGGGAGAAAATATACTTTTAGCAAATTCCCGACGGTAAATTAGGGATCAGCAATGGTTGTCATGGTAATGAAGATAAAGAAAAATACAGCTCGTTATAGGACTCGAAAGCGAAAAAAATTTTACATGCGCAGATATACGGATTTAAGCAGCTTTTCATACTGAATAATAAATGTGAAGCTGTAGAGATATGCTAAAAATTGACACGCATTGTATTGCAAT